ATACATTTGGAAATAGCATAGTTGGACTTGCTCATGGATTGAGTGTGGGTTGTGAAGAAAATAAAAGATTTAAATATGTCATTCCCAGTTTTTGGCCTAGGCTACCAGGAAGACAGAGGCTTTTTTACTCAGAAGGGAGGTCTGTGGAAAGAGGGCTTTGTTCCCATGGGAGGACCAGGTCGAGAGGTCGAGGGTGGGGGACAGCGGGGAGGGACCCAGCACTGGAATAGACTGTCAGGAGGCCATTGACAGAAGGTCGAGGGTGGGGGCAGCGGGGAGGGGACCCAGCACTGGAATAGACTGTCAGGAGGCCATTGACAGGTCGAGGGTGGGGGCAGCGGGGAGGGGACCCAGCACTGGAATAGACTGTCAGGAGGCCATTGACAGAGAAAGCTACGGGTGTTAATGGTTCAGTGAGACAATTTGTGTGACAGCCGTGATCTTTCCAGCACTGTCCAAGAGGGCTCCCACTGGGGACATGATTCCTTGTGGCAAGCATGAAAGTCCCAAGCTCTGTGAGTGACCCTGCTGAGACTAAAGAGCTCCTAGGCCTGTGAGCCCCCAGAGAGGCTAACGCTGTCACGATTTCAGTACTATGACCCAGTGTTCAATGTCGAGCTTACCAGAGTTGCAGAGAGGGCTGATGAGAGCAGATTAAGTGCTAGTTCTCACCAGCCCTCTGGCTCACTATCTGCAGAGTTTTGCACAAACACCTAGAGCCCTCTGTGTCCGGCCCCAGTATCCTCTCCTGCCTGACCTCTGGGCAGTCTCTACCTTCCTGTGAGGCCTCCATGGGAAGGACAGAGGCCCCTAGATGGGAACTCTGGTGAGAACATTGTCACTCCACTCCTGAGAGGGACCGTCAAAGGGGAGGTGGCATTGCTGGGGGCTGAAGGCAGCCCACAAGGTGCAGGGGCCACAGGGGCCTAGGGCCACAGAGGAGACACACCTCTGTGAGGGGCAGCAGGCAGGAGGGCCACCCCAGCAATCCGCCCCCACCCTCCAAGCCAGCCTTCCCAGCCAGTCCTATCCAGACTTCCTCCCAGAAGGTGCTGGAGCCTGGAGAGGTGGCTCCCCCTTGGAGGAGAGCAGGACATAGCAGGGAGCAGGGACCAAGGCCAGGCTAGCAGGGGACAGTACAGGTCCCAGGTCTGTGCTCTCAGAGTCTCATCCACACAGGTACTTGGGGCAGGCAGAATTGTGTTTGCTTGTCTGTTTGAAACTAGATAGTAAAGTCCAGAGAGGAGGAGTGCCTCGCTCCCCACGGGGTGCCCCTGTTTTCCCTGGTTCAGTGAGGGGGTTGTGGGGAGGGTGCTCTCAGCCCAGGCCCTACAGTGCTGTTTCCTGCCACCCTGCTTTCTCCGTGATGCTAACTAATGAGTGGGCTCCTTAGAGATTGTGAACCTGAGCCCTGCTCTCATGCCTGGAGGTCACACCGATAACAGGAATTAGCACCTCTTATTGAATCCAGAGTCTGTGACCTTCTTGGTCAGAACCAGGGACATTAGTCTGCAATGGAGTTTTTGTTTTTAAGTGTATGACAACTTATGATGGGTTTTTTTCCCATTATGAAGTCCATTTAAATTAATTTTTGAAAATAAAATAGTATTTATTTTTTGAATTATTAATTGCACCCATATGGCTTAACTTTCAAAAGGACCAAATGAATAGCAAGGGGAGGGTTTCCTTTCCAGTTCTGTCCCCTGTCTGTAGGCAACTGGGATGGCCAGGTTTTTTGTGAGTCTTTTCCAAGGTTTGGGCCCAGTCTACACATACACATACCATGCTTTACACAAATTCCTATACCTTGCTGTTTGCACTTACAGTATGTTGGAGACCTTTCTATGTCAGAATATGGGTTTAGCATCTGCATAATGTCCCACCATACAGCATATCATAATTCATGTACATGGTCTCTGCTTACTGGACTTTGTCTGGCTACCATAGTGAGAGGAATCTTTTTACCATAATCATTGAGCGACAAAATCCAATGACCTTCGAGTTCTCCAGGAAGATGTAGAAAGGGAAGAAAATTAATAGAAGTTTGAAGCAAGTCAGAAATAACAGGTCAACCTCTGGTCTAAAGTCAAGAGATACAAGTGTAACTCCTAAAACTAATAACAAACTCTCCTTTCAAGTCTCTAGCTTCTCACGATGTACAAAACAATTTAATATCTGTTACCACAGTGAGACTTTAGGGGGAAAATGCTAAAATGTTTCTCTTTGAGTCACTAACTGATGACCTTAAATAAGTTTCTAATTTTGTGATGTCCTACTTGTCCATAAAATAGGGTAATAAAAGTTCCCACCTCATAGGGTCATTTCAAGGGTTAAATGAGCTGTTCAGGTAAAGTAATTAGGACAGGGTCTGTCACATGGCAAGGATTCAGTACACGGGGCTGCAGGTGAGCAAAGGAAAATACAGACCAGTGAACAAACTCTCCTGGCTGCTAAAGAGCTGCTGCAGGAATACAGGTCGCCAACCTGCAAACAAGACCAGGAGGCCTTAGGAGTAGATCATAAAACAATGACGGTGGCTCTGACACACGGCCGTTGCAATCATTGCTGTAGGAATGTGACTGATCTTGATTGAGGGGATTAATCCAGCCTTCACGTAGTACTGTAGTTCATCAAATTCTAAGATGCCACTGGATGTAAGAAGTATAGTTATTTTATGAACTACTGAGAAGGGAAAGGAAGGAGGGGAAGAGAGAGGAAGGGAGGAAGGAAGGAAGGGAGAGAGGGAAAGAAGGACAGATGGAAGGAAGGAATGCAGGAAGGAAGGAAGGACGGAAGGAAGGATGGATGGAAGGAAGGAAGGAAGGAAGGAAGGAAGGAAGGAAGGGTGGAAGGAAGGAAGGAAGGAAGGACGGAAGGAAGGAAGGAAAGCAGGAAGGAAAGAAGGATGGAAGGAAGGAAGGAAAGAAAGCAGGAAGGAAGGAAGCATGGAAGGAAGGAAGGATGGATGGATGGAAGGAAGGAAGGACGGAAGGAAGGAAGGAAGGATGGAAGGAAGGAAGGATGGAAGGAAGGACGGAAGGAAGGAAGGACGGAAGGAAGGAAGGAAGGAAGGAAGGAAGGAAGGAAGGATGGAAGGAAGGATGGAAGGAAGGAAGGAAGGAAGGAAAGAAGGCAGGCAGGCAGGAAGGAAGGAAGGATAGAAGGAAGGAAGGAAGGAAAGAAGGCAGGCAGGAAGGAAGGAAGGATAGAAGGCAGGAAGGCAGGAAGGCAGGTGCTAACTACAGTTGTAGGTCGCTATGCTGGTCAGCCAGCTGCTGTTTCTCTCTTCCACACTTACCATCTGTGCTCTGCTCTGTGAGGCTGGAGCTGGGACCTGCACCCACACTGCCTTTTGCCAATAAGGGCACTTAGAAGAGAAATGAGAAGAACCTTGCTTTTGTATGTTTAATTTCCTGCCGGTTCTGACCTTGGCAGTTGATTTTGGTTTCCAACTTTTGGCCACTCCCAGAACCAGACTCGTGGTGCCCTCAGCAGAAAAAGTACCAGCAGGCATTTCCCACCCCCACGGGTCTTAGAGGACCCCCTATTACTCCCCTATTAGCACCACATGGGAAGCACCCCCTCTTCAGAGGTTCTTTTTAACATTTCAGTCCTCTGATATCTGCTATTCAATTCCCTGTTAACACAGGGAATTCTCTTCATTAAAGTTAGAGTGGATTCCATTTTTCTGCCTAGACCCTAACTTATGGATTATTAAATGAAAGTCTTGGAATTGATGAAATGAAATACTGCCAAAGGGGATTTATAGACGTCGATGTTGATGGTCTCTTTGGAGAGATCTCGTTGACCTCACTGTGGAGTCGAGAGGGAAGAAGTGCCTTGCTCAAGGTAACATAGCTAAAGGTGGCAGCGGAAGCTGGACCATGTTCCCAACTCTTAGGCTGGCTGGCACTCTCTGCTGACTCTGCAGAAGGGCCCACCCTGCTCCTGGGATGGACAGGCCAGTGGCATACTTCTTCTGACTCTCCAGAAGGGCCCAGCTTGCTCCTGGGATGGGCAGACCAGTGGCACACTTCACAGTAGGCTGTCCTCTCTAATCCCCCGCTCCTGGGATGGACAGACCAGTGGCACACCTAACAGTAGGCTGTCCTCTCTAATCCCTGGCTCCTGGGATGGACAGACCAGTGGCACATCTCACAGTAGGCTGTCCTCTCTAATCCCCCATTCCTGGGATAGACGGGCCAGTGGCACACCTCACAGTAGGCTGTCCTCTCTAATCCCCCATTCCTGGGATGGACGGGCCAGTGGCACACCTCACAGTAGGCTGTCCTCTCTAATCCCCCGCTCCTGGGATGGACAGACCAGTGGCACACCTCACAGTAGGCTGTCCTCTCTA